ACTTGCTGTGACTAATGTACTATTCGCTGGTAAAACCCAAACCGGTCCTTGAGCTCCTGCTACACCATTAGAGGTGCATGTAGAATTAGTACAATAAGTGTTACGAGGAGTTGGATAAGAGAAGTAGGCATGACCAGAGACACATGCCACAAAATGACAAAATATGCCGACAGGAAAAAGTAGGAAAAGACGAGAAGAAATCATTTTGGTAGTTTGAAGAATGAGGTACGATATTGCGATATTATACATATAATTCACTTTATTACTGTAATTTTGGGCGTACAAAAGAAAAACCTAGAAAAATATGCGTTACGCATGAATGATTTTTTTCTGGCGTAGTCGGTGAGAACGGGTGAATCATCAAACAAGTTATCAGTGATGCTTGTGTAGCCTCTACATAATTTACTGACTGATGCACACATAAGAAAATGGATTTCTTCTCTTTTCATACGATATCACATGTTTTTTTTTCTGTCACGTGTAGGGTATATACATTCAGTATAATGAAATATAAAAACGAATATAGAAACGAAATTTTATGGTCATATGTAAACTTGGAAAATACTCGTTGCAAAAGCGGGCAGGGTCTACCCGTCGAACAGAAAATATTGAGTTAGCTTTGAATGCGTTCTTTTCAAGGTTCCTTTAGTTTGGTTCAAAAATGACTGAGGTATGAGCTGTAGTTTGAATGGATGTCATATATATATATATATATGACGATGATATATACGATCCGCTATAACGTGCAAGAGAACAAAATTCTTTCCATTTTGTTTTCCCCTTTTCTTATCTGGGCATGTACTATCTAGGGTCGAAAAAGACTCAAAAAATATAGAACATACATATCCTCATATCAAACTAAACAGAGTGTCTATTGAATAGAAGGAATTTCTGATTTTGTTATTGTATAGTCATAACGATTTCACCTTTTGCAGTGTATATCTGCTGTTGTTTTCAACTTTTTCAAAGTAGAAATACAGCAAAAAATTAAGTAATTCTCAGAGTAAGGAGTAAGTGGGGAAAAAGATAAATTCTTCTTAGGTTCCCTTAGGCACATAGTTAAACCATCTTTTTTAACCGGTCATGGGGATGAGAACCCTAATCGACTTTCCCTATAAAAATCCCTGGGGAGTCCATTACCTGTCGTGACTCCCCAGAGATTTTTATAGGGAAAGTCGACTAGGGAATAAGCCTTCTTTCTTAGATAATTCATCAAAACTAAGACTCTCTTTATGATAATCATTTGTAGCTCTCATCAATTTAACTGGTGCTGTTTTAACATGCCGTTTACCTTCACTTGTGTTAATTCTATGTGGATCAACCTCGAAAACAAACAAAAGTATTATCGACTCTTTCAGTATGAAATGAAAAATAACCGAAGATTTATACCTTAAATACGTTGAACTACGACTTAATTTGAATCCACGCTTTATAAGTTCCTTATGTAAATCATCCAACGACATACATGCTGCTATTAAATTTGTACTACGTTGTCGATCTGCTGCTCCACCACCACCAGCGATTTCGGCGATAACATCTAGCAAATTAATCAAAGTTTAATCAAAGCGATCAAGTAAATTTGAAAAGAAGGAGTGAAGAATTCTAAATAATTCTTACCCAATAAAGCATTTTGACCAGTTTGAGCCTCGATATGAGGACGGCCACTCGATTCTTGTGGCAAAATGTCAAACTCTTTAAATATCTGTGGATATTTTTCATTTAAACTTTTTAATTTTAACTGTTTATTTCGACGTGATTTAGCATTGGCAACACGAACTTGTTCAAGACGCTTCAAAGTTTTTCTTAATTTCTCTCGTTGTTTATTTAATGATCTCATTGAGATAAGATTTTCACTTGTTAGAAGATTTTTATTTTTTAAAGAAATGTAACCAGCTAATGATGTTTCTATATCAGATAACTGTTTTTTAACAATTTCTTGTTGAGGACATGGAGCTAGATGATAACAAAAAAACTATACACATACAAAAAAGTACACACAATAAGATCGATATACTTTTATCGAAAACTTCTACTTTTGACGTTAAATTTGGTTGTTCCTGTTTACTTTTATCATTTGATTCTGGAGAACTGACTAATGGTTTTTCACTAACAACTGATAACGAAAGTAAGGGTGTTGATTTATCACTAAGTTCTGATGATAGATTCGATGTTGATAATAGCTGATAACTATACGATTTATTAGCTGAAGCCCAAGAAGTAAATAATGTTTGAGTTTTGGGATTCCCTTTTCTCCCTTCAATTATCATACGACTAATTTCTTCTTCAATTTCATCATGCCCTTCTAATTTTAATGATTTCCATCTGGTATTTCCATCGGCATAAGCATCCTACAGAAAGTAAGAAAAAGATGATAGCAGCAGAGTATCTCTAAAATTTTTCTTGTTATAACTATAACTTACTTTTCGTGTTCCTTTATGTTGATCAACAAATGCATTAATAAATCGGTCATACAGAGAAGTTGATTTTCTCTTACTGTCACTTTTACTGTTCATTATCTAAAAAATATATCAATAATCAAAGAAAGCAGAAATAGACAAGTATCAATTGAATCTTATTCACTTTTTTCAGAATAGAGTTTGCAGAAATACCTTACTTCACATGGTTCATCTCTGGAGAGTAGAAAAGACAAATGTCTTCACTACCATTTATTCTCTCTGGAAATACGCTCTGTATCAACCAATAGGAAAAGATAGAACGACAAAATCCACGAATTACCACGTTTCTGTATGCGCTGTTCAAAATTCCAATTAGAAACCTGTTCTTTTCTCTTTCTCTGTCTGCTTTTTTGATAATCATTGGGCAAGAGAGAAAGGATTAGTTACGTGACTGACCGGACAGTGTAACAGAAAGATCACATTATCACTCACGACCTTCACCTCCCCTCATCGGGTGATCAAGCGTTATCTTTTAACGAACCCTCCCCCCCCTCTCATTGATAACGTGATATATGGATGACGCCTAACATATTTAAAAAGTTAATTTTAACATATAAATTTTAAAAAAAGTTGAATTAAAACAAAATTTTCGTAACTAAATTCAGGCAAACAAATTATGTTACTGAAAAACCCGTAGAAAATCGCGATCGCGTCATATGCGAACGCCGAAAAAATCCTACATTTGTTCAGTTTTTGATTCTCTATCGAATGACGTCTCTAGAAT